CCCCACGGCTTTGGGCAAAGGGGCACATCCTGAACGAGCAAAGAAAGAAGGCGGTGAGAGACCCCAAAACCACGGCTACCCGTGACTGCAGTTCCTTCCAACTCAGAAGGACCCCCCGAGCAAACCAGAATTCACCCTCATTCCCCATCAGTGGAAACTCCCAGAAGCGGTATGAAGAAAACAAAAAAGCAAACACTGCGCAGTGGCCTCCCCCAGGCCTCACTCTACAGCGGTGGGAGGTACTGGGCATCCGAAGACCCAGGTCCTCCTCCTGTGTGGGCCTCACTGTCCCCTCGGGAACACCCAATGGACAGACGGAGAAGCCGCAATCCCAGTACCCCCCAAACAACGAAGCACGTGCCAGGATTCCGTGGCCTTTAAGTGTGGGAGAGACCGGATTTAAAGAACTCTGCTCAAAGTCACTCAGGAAAAACTCCTGGAGTCTGCAGTGATGGTCAGGCGGGAAGTGAGGCACTTGGGGCCCAGAGGGAGCTGTGAGGGGATGTGCTCCCTCAAGGCTGCAAGTCCTCCCTGGGCCATGACATCCTCAGCTGGGCGGGGCGGGGGGGTGTCATCCGGCTGCAGCGGCTGCTAATCCCGGGTTCCATCTCAGCAGCCCGCACGGCTGCCCTGTCTCCCCAGACTGGGCTAGATCTCCAGTTACACACTTCCTAACCTCTTGTCCCTCGCCTAATAACTTAGTTATTCGTGTGCTTATCTCATCCATGGCCAAATGCCAGCACCAGAGGAAGATTCAGATGTTGACGAAGCGTGCGGTGCTCAGGAAATACCTGCAGGATGGAGGAAGGAGCCAACGCACGTTCGTCCTGCTGGAGGACAGCAAGCAGTCCACTCGGCTCAGTCCTGACGAGTCACCCACATACATGCCACCCCATATCCAGGACGACGTCACACTGAAGTTACAGCCGTTCAGAACCCCAAGCCCAGTCCTCGGAAGTGCAGTACAAGGCACCCCTGGGCCCTGGCACGGGCAAGTTCAGTCAGGAAGGCTCTATGACAGGAGGCAGCCTGGTAACCCACCGCGAGGGCATGCTCTGCCTCCTGACACGCCCCCCCGCCGGAGACCCCTGGCTTATCGGTTCCCACCCAGACATACCCCTTCCAGAAAAGGAAACCCATCTATTTAAAGATCCAGCACCAAGAAGGCACACATTATTCAAAACAAGGAAAAATCTTGAAACCCTTGTGTACCATGGGTGGGAATTTTAAATGATACAACCATTATGGAAGATAATATGAAACATTAAAAATAGAATTGCCATACGATGCAGCCCTCCCACATCTGGGTATAGATCCAAAAGAATTCAAAGCAGGATCTCAAAGATATTTGCACGTTCATGCTCACTGTGGCATTATTCGCAACAGCCAAAAGGGAGAAGAGACCCAAGTGTCCATCAACAGAAGGACGAATAAAGAAAACGCGTTAATTATACACATACAATTGACTACTGCACGGTCTCATAAAGGAAGGAAATCCTGTCACACGCCACAGCACAGATGAACCTCCAGGATATTATGCGAAATGAATCAAGCCAGTCACAAAATGACAAATACAGTAGGATTCCATTTATGAGGTATCTAAGCAGCCAGAATCAGAGAGACCAGAGTGTAAAGGTGGTTGCCAAGGGCTGGGGGAAGAGGGAAAGGGAACTGGCATTTCATACAGAGTTTGTTTTACAAGAAGAAGAAGTTTTAGAAAGACCCGTGGCATGATGGGAATGACACTACCGAACTCCACATTTAAAAATGGTTTAAACATCAGTTTAAAAATCTTGAAAGCACATTACAAAAGGAGAAAAAAAAAAAAAAAAGGACATCCAGAACAGGTAACAAGAATTTTAAAAGAAAATCTATACAGTCAGAGAACAAATGAGAAATTGGGGGGGGGGGGGGGGGAGAAGAAGAAGAAGAACACATATTCAGTGTAGTCGACCCCGCAGTGGGGAACTGAGGAAGAAGGAGGGGCCCATACACCTGCTGCAGCCCCAGGCCTGAGGCTGAACATGGTCCCCCTCAGGCCAGTCACTCCCCCTTCCATGGACTTCTCTCTATCTGCACTGTCCCATCCCCTATCCCATGCAGAGCTCCCTAGAGATCAGGGAGAGGGGCACATGAAAGGCTTGGCAAGGCCCCCAGATGTAAGACGCCGCGATCCTTCTCACGGCTGCTTCTTGGAGGACCAGCCCTCTGCCCCGGGAGGCCCGCATCTTCGCATCTGCACGAGCATTCAGCCACCTAAACCCCGAAGTGTCCTGCCCAGCGCTGGCTTGGCACCATTCCACATACAAAGAAAGTCAGGAATAGTCCTTTACACAGAAATCCCAGGCCTTGGTTCTCGATGACTGTAATTACAGCCAAAACAGCTCTTTTGAAAGGGAGAGAGGCAGAGAAAACAGCAGCCTGGACCGAGCAGTGAATTGGGGGTTTTGGGGGAAAACACACACCCAGAGTGCTTGCTGCTGCAGCGTTCTGTCTACACAAGGGCCCGGCCAGCCAGACTGAAGCAGCTTTCTGGCCAACGCAGTTCTCCCTCTAACTGAACGAGCCGCTTGCTCATTAAGCACTGGAAGCAGGTCACAGGGACGGGAGCCCCTGGCACACGGCCACGCGGGCTAACAGATGACGGGGCAGAGGAGACAGGGCCACTCCAGCCCCGCGGGTCCCCAGCTCCCAGGGCGTGACCAGTTCTAGCAGACACCCCAGCTTTGGGGAGAGGTTTTCTACACAGGTATACTCTGTTCCTTCTACGAAATGGTGTTTCTGCTGTGGACTTCCTCACTAGGGAAGTCCCACATCCCAACCCTTTGGTTCACCAACTGGGCGCACCATCACCCAAACCCACGTCCAAGAGGCGGGCCACAGAGGAGGCAGCGCCTTGCTGGATGCGAGTCCCAGCTCCGCCTCCTGATGGCAACTTGACCTAGAACCACTTATTGAACCTCCCCAAAACTCTTGTCTCCTCACCTACAACACGTGATAACATCCTCATCTCGTCTAGAGTAGTGGCAAATAATAGATAAAAAGTTATTTCTATCCTAAAAGGCCAATTGAAGCACCTGACACACAGTATTACTCCTGACAGCTAATATTAACAGAGATATGACTCTAATTATGAAAAGGGTATTTTTTCAACATATTTCCTGTATCTTAGCTGAATAGGAAGGAAAGAGGGACGTTCTTGGTGAAACGCCAAGGACGGCCAGCCCCAGGTCCAGGCCTGACGGCTGCAACAGTGCCAAGCCCGGCGAGAGCAGTAGGCCCCCAGCATGGGGAAGCCCCACCCGACACCCCCCAGCCAAGGCCGCTGCACTCCCTACCTGAGCGGGAAGGCCGAGGAAGAAAAGAGGAGAGGCCTGGAGACGTACTGAATGGCAAGCCTGACGCCACAGGGACGAAGGATCTCACGTGGCCTCTTGAGACCGAGTGGGGAACTACACTCAGGCCACACACCCACCACTTCCCGGACCCTGGGACTCCTCACCACCCTTCCAAGCTTCAGTTTGACCTAAAAAACGAGGGTAACAAGACCCCTATACCACAGCTTGCTGTGAATGTGGAGTGAACCCATGTGAAAGGGCTTGAAGCAACTCACTCCCACATCCATGAGAAAGGGCACTGCTGTTTTTCATAGTTTCAACAAATTCAACTTAAAAAAAAAAAATGCCGAAGGACTGGGAGGATCAAGGCAGTGAAAGGTTATTTTGATATTTTTATTTAATTATTATTATTACTTACTATTATCACTTAACTTTTTTTTATATTCAGTTAGCCACTGTGTGTAGTACATTAGTTTTTGATGAAGTATTCGATGACTCATCAGCTACACACAACACCCAACACTCATCACAACACGTGTCCGCTTCCTTTTTGTAAAGCAGGCTCCACACCCAGCAAGGAGCCCAACACAGAGCTTGAACTCATGACTCTGAGATCAAGATTTGAGTTGAGATCAAGAGTCAGATGCCTCATCGACTGAGATACCCAGGTGCCCCAAAAAAGTAATTTTAATAAGCTAATGAACTACTCAGAGAAACAGGAGCAAACATACTAATTTTCTTCCCCAAATTGCTGTCATTGAGCTGAGATTTCTGTGGATGGGATGAATTGGCAGGAAGTAAAACTGGCAGGAAGCCAACTGACGTGCCCAACATCTACTATAGGTTTTCTATTTACCTAGTAGATTCTTCTGGAGACAAAGAGCCCAAACCAGGCTGCATCCGAGATGGCTGATCCCACCACCTCCAACACCCACTTTCTCCAAGAAGTCCTACAATTCCACTCAACCAATCCCCATCCTCCCTTCGAAATGTACAACTTTAAAGTAGCTTCTATTTCAATGCAGAGCAGATGGACAAATTCCTTCACTGTGCTCAGAAGACAACTTAATTCTTGTTCAATCTCTGCTCTGTGCACCAGAGTCAAAAAACAACAGTCCAGAATGTTTACCAGATGCTGCTAGAAGATCCCCAAAATTCCAGAAGAGAATGTACACATTTTCAAAGCCTAAAGCAACTGACCACGGAAATTTTGCTGAAATCCCACAATTTGTCCTTAAAAATTCAAGTCGACCTTCTTATATACCACAATAAATCGTTTCACTTCTTAAATGTTTTGAGCCAATTAACAACTAATTATCAAACATTTTCCCTAAAATCTGAATAAACAAAGATCCTTCGCCATTCTCGCTCAGTCCCCAGGAGACCCCACACATCCTCAAGGTATGTGCATCTCGGTTCCAGAAGCAACAGGCCAGGAGATGGGGGGGAGAAGAGCGCCCCTCCCACCATCACACCCATCTTAACCTTGGCCTTTAAATCAAGATCAACCACCCAGCTCAGAATGGCTTCCCTGGAGGGTAGAGGGAGCTGGGGTTTGCAGTGGGTGTAGCCGTCCACTCTGATTCCCCCAGCACCATCTACAGGGCCGACAGTGAAGACGCTGGGGCTCGGACCCCTCACAGCCCCTCTCCAGCCACTCACCCGGATCCGGCGCATGGCAGCCACGATCTCCACTCGGCTGTTCGGTCTCGGCACATCCAGGCTTCCGACGTACTGCAGGGAGGAAGCAAGCACTCGGTGAGAAAAGGACAGCAAGGGTCCCCGGTCACAGAATGTTAGCAGAAGGACATCCAGCTGAGCTCCCTATTTTGCAAAGGAGGAAAGAGCCAAAGGGGTGTCTTGTTCGGGGATGACTCCTAAAGTTATAAAAAGCCCCTGAACAAGAAAGCCCTGCTTCCTCTCCCACCCTGCTCTTGATCAGAAGTGAAACAGATCCCAATGTGCCACCGAGCAGCCTCCTAAACCAGACAGACTGGGATCAACCTCCCACCACTGTCTTTGGGGCGAGGTACTTTGCCCGGCCTCATTGGTAAAATGGCATTTCGGGAAAAATCCAACGAGAGAAGGTATAAATCTCCTACACAAATACACTTTACTTATATTAAAGTCCCACACACACACAAAAAAAGAGAAATATATGCTTTTTTTCAATGAATGGCACTTCAGTGAGTTAGCCCTGAATGTTACAGAGACCTCAGACACTTGACTAAGTTCCCAACTGGAGGAAAGGAACATCCTAATTATATTTTATTTAAAAATGTAATCTTCTGAAACAATTTTTTAATCTAAAACTTTTGAGTTATTTTTAAGACCCAATGACATTCAGGTTAATGTTTAATATACGGATACTTCCTCCCAGTACACTATTCAAATAAAGCAGAAATACACAGAGCAAAAGAATAAAGCCCTCCCCCCACTCTCCTTGATAGTTTAACATTCATCTCTGTGTGTACTGATGGACAGATACATTCACAGACACAAAGGAATCTGTTTTATGTAAAAAAGGCACACTCTTCATATTGTTCTGTATGTTGGGTTTTTTGTTTTTTGTTTTTTGTTTTTTTTTTTTTTTTTTTACTCTAAATACAACTTGGGCATTTTTGTCGCCACGTTACCCGCGAAGGCTCACGGACTGGCAGACACCTCCCCTCTCACTAGTAACCACACTAAGTCCACGACCCCATCATCGACAGACCCCAGAGCTCATCCAAGACACTCTGTAGGCTGGACTTGGATGAGTAGGATTGCTAGATCAGAAGTAGAGAAATATCTTGAGATCCGTCCTCAGTAGGAGGAAACAAATCAAGAGGGAGGACATTTTTTAAGCAAGAGATAACCTGTTTCTCACACAGCCATACTGACCTATTGGGTCCGCCTTCCCTTTTAACATTCAAATGATAGAAAATAGCCTGGGGGATGTCCTAGGAATGTACAGCCCCCAGATAACTTAGAAGTCTACCTAAGCAAAGACTGCATTGATAGATGCTAAGAGGACAGTCATCCCCTATTTCCTGTGGTCACAGGAAGGGAAGGTTCTTTCTGAAATTTGGAGCAGGTGGGTCTGGGCTTGGACTGGGTCCTGCACTCGCTCTGTCTCAAGATCGAGACCCTGATGGACTGGAGTCCGTTGTAGAGGTGCTCATGCTTCATGCGTGACATGGAGGTCCTGAGGCCATACCTGCACGTACGGCAGTATTGATTTCCGGCCTGGTTTTGCCCCAAGGAGTGGGCTCTGTGACCTTCCCCTGCTCCCCTGGTACCGTGCTTCTGCGTTGTGACTCACATTGTTAGCGTGACTCTCTAGCTTGTGACGAGGTGTGGAACCATACCTTGGGTTTCCTTTTCATCGCCATCATTTCTAGGGCAAACGGGACAGGGCCTTCCCACGCTACTTTGGAAAGTTGGCTCCCAGGCCTGGACCTCGTCCACCTGCTGAGCTAACAACCTTTCCAGATCCGCACTTCTGTCACCTCCTGCAGCCATCAGGCGAAAGCCTGCCTTTAGCCAAAGGCTGACGCACCATGATGGGTTCTCGCTCAGAGAAGGCATCCCCTTTATCTGCCTCTCCTGCAAGACCCAGGGTGTCGAGGCTCCTGTGACAGCAGAGGCAGGCTGGCTCCATGCCTGAAAATCAAAGCAGTCGTTTCCAGAAGGGAAACTCGTGTTCTTTCTCCTCCCCACCCGCCGCACTGTGCTCCTCACCTAGGTTTCTCCACCTTGATTAACAGCCCCCAGAATACCCATGAGTCGGGTCATTCAAGCCTGAAACCTGAGGGGTCATCCTGGAACGAGCTCCTCCCTTCCCCCCTCCCACACTGCCGCTACCTCATCCCACGGAACCCTTCCTTCTGGCTTCGTCTGTGCAGTGTCCCCTCCACTGTCCCCAGGGCCCCTCCAAACCGCTCCCCACGAGGCGTCAGAGTGCGCCCTCTCCGGCACAAACCCGCTTGCCTCGCCCTCTTCAGACCCCCACACCCGCTGCCAACCGCTGTGAAGAGGCCCGCCAGAGCCCTCAGCGCGGCTCCCGCTGCCCTCCTACGGAGGCCTCCCGCAAGGCCCCCCAGGTCCCTCGCCGAGCACTCACACATGGCCACGTACAGGACTTCCTCGTCACTGGTGACTCACGTCCACCTGACCGGAATCCTCCCAGAAGGAACACACACCCCCCGCCCCGCGCTCCAAGAAGGGGCAGGAGAGGCCTGAGCCCGGGCCTCTGACTGGTGTTCCGATGGCAGAGGCCACGGCCCCCTTCCTCCCGTCGGCCTTCCCGGCTATGCGATCCCCTCACTGTGGCTCTAGGAACTTCCCTAATTTCCATGTCAGCACCTGAGCTGGACCCAAGCCAGACGCTCTTCCAGCAGCACCGCAGCTCCCAGCTTACCAGGACGTGAAGTACATCAGCCCTTCCTGCCGGCCGGCGCTTAGCCACCTGGCACTGGGGAGGACTTCGGTTCGGATTCTGTAGGAATCCCTGCTGGGGGGCATCTCACAGGGCTGCTATTCAGAACATCTACCACGCAGCTTAAAGAGAGAATAAAGGGGTTTTAAAATATCCAGGCCTACTTCTTGTTCATGAGCATCCGGGGAGGGGGGGAGGGGGGAAGCCTAGAAGGAAGATGCAATTTGTAGCGGGCAATCAAGATACGCGATCACCTGTGTTGGTCTTATCTGCGGCTTCATCTTCCAGATAAGCAGGAGGCGGCTGCAAACCAGGTTAAACCTTAGGACTTCAGATATTTTTTGTGAGTTTCTAGATGACCTCAGCCCTGGTGCTAGATTAACACCTCCCAAAATTACATTCATTTTCTTGTTTCCACGTTCAGGAGATTAACTCCGAGAGACACGGATAGACTGCTCGGTGCGCAGGGTCTCCTGGGGCGCGACCCACGACACTAAACAGCCCTGAGACCTGACAGCCACCGTGGACTGGCTAGACGTTGTGCCATTGCCTTCTTCAGGAGCGCCCTTTAGTTTACAAGGTTTCTGCCAACTGTTTCCAGACACCAAGAAAAAAAAGGATCACACACACAAAACTGATTTTGCGTCAAAAATAAATATCAGGTGATCCTGCCTCCGATAATGCTGGAGGAACTGTACCACCAGACGAGACCTCCGACAAGCAATAAATACGAAGTCTGGGCAAGATTATTAAAAAAACAAACAAAAAAAAACCAAACAAACAAAATGAAACAAAAAAAAAAAAAACTTTGCAGAGAGTGTACAAGGACTGAACTGAAAAACCAGCTAGGATGTTAATTAATCTTAATGTGTAACGTATCAGTATTGACTCAAACGTCCCAAAAGCACCCCCCTAATGCAAGATGCTAAGAGGGAAAACCATGTGTGTACGGAGGGAGGGCGCATGGGGGTGTGGAGGCAGTAAAGGGTATATGGGAACTCTGTCCTTGCCTCCCAACTTTTCTGTAACCCTAAAACATGAAGTCTGTTACTTGAAGTCATAAAAATAAGCTTGAAGGCACTGGAGAGAGACCAAGAACAGGCAGGGCTTGGCAGGGAATCATCCCTGAAAGGAGGCGACTGCCCTACACAAGGCTCGGTTTGCGTCATTTGTATAGAACCACTGGCTGGAGCTGGGGCCCAGGAGCCCAGACAGACAGCCTGGGCGGTCTGGACGCCAGAGATGGGAGAGCCAGAGCAACCGGAAAGTGGGGGGCACAAATCCCCAACAGAAGGGGGTGCTGCAGGGTGACCTCCGGATGTCAATCCAAGCAGGGTCCGTGGGCGACCTCCAAACAACACATGTGCATGGGAGAGTCCAAGGAGCCCAGGAGAAGGCGGCAGCTGTCCACACCAGGAGTGGCAGGTTTGGGATTTAGGACCAGCCACATCCACCATCATGGAGAACGAAAGTGAACACTCTTCCGAGGAGAATAGCTGAATCTTGCGTCATAGGGCTGGTGAAGCCCTACTGCCCGGCCAGCACGGGCAAGGCCATGGGGAAAGGCCACAGGGCCACATTTTCAGGGGCAAAAGGAAAAGGGCCTCCGTAAAGGGGTACAATGTAAAGGTCTCTACATTCTGCCTTCCCAGTTCTGATCTTCTGAAAACCACTCAGTTAACCAGCCTCAGCCCATGGCAGATGCCACATGAGATTGAGGAGGAAGCCACTCCTGCCAGAGAAGGACAAGGAAGCCCAAAGCAGAGAGCAGAACGAAGAGGAAGGGCGAGATCTCCCAGCTTCTGGCCTCCTTGCCTGCATCTGGGCCAACACTCTCCTTTCGGGTCCCAACCCAGCCTGGCCTCTGTTCTGTCCCCCTGCCTACCTTCCAAAACACCCCCCGCCCCCTGGTTTCCTGGCCCTACTGTTTCCTCTTTTCAAAAACACGCCCAAGCAGTTTGATACCCTGCGGGAATCTAGAAACCACCAGTGAGGGCCCGCCTGAACTAGTCCTTTAACCAATCCTGTCCTGATACCTTCTAAAAACTTAGAATCAGGGGCGCCTGGGTGGCTCAGTCGGTTAAGCATCTGTCTTGTTTGCCTTCGGCTCGGGTCATGGTCTCTGGGTCCTGGGATCAAGGTGCATATCAGAGCCCCTGCTCATTGGAGAGTCTGCTTCTCCCTCTCCCTCTGCCCCTCTCCCCTGCTCGTGCTCTCTGCCAAATAAAATCTTTTTAAAAATAAAAACTTAGAATCACAGAAGCAGAGCTCCCTTCCAAAATGAACCTTAGGAAGCACATTCAAGAAGCCGTCA